TGACAAATGTGCTCAAGAAAATTTTCTTTATCAACATGTGGATGCTCCTATTGGAGAAGGAGCAAAACTGGACCACCTGGACAATAAGAAAGGGCAGGTGACTGAAGTAAAAGTAGGAGAACACTTTGGGTCTAGCAATCAATAATTCTATTAGTTCCAAATTGGTTATGGAAAAGGATAAGCCTTCCATAAAAGTTAGTTTTTAATTGGAGTAAGGCAAATTTTAATGGTACGAGATATGAAATTCAAAAGTTGATTGGAGTAGACTGGTTGAAGGTAAAAAGATGTCAGACAAATGGGGGGGGGTATTCAAGAGTTTGAGTAGAGTTCAGAGGCATTTTATTCCTGTTGGAGTGAAGGATAAAGCTGGTAAGATTAAAGAACAGTGGATGAATCAAGATAGACGTTCTGGTCAAAAATTTTTTTAAAAATCTCTTTTTAGACATAGACAACTAGGTTCAATTGAATCTGTTAAGCATGCCCCTACACTCTTTATTGATTGAGAGAAGTCAGGAAGTCAAAGAGGGAATATGAGATAGCATTGGCAGGTAAAGTTGAGGATAATCCAAAGAGATTCTACAAATACACTAAGAGCAAGAGGGTAACTAGAGAGAGGGTTGAGCCTCCTAAAGATCAAGAAGGTCGTCTTTGTTGAACTCCAGAAGATGGGAGAGATACTAAACGAGTATCTTGCATCAGTTTTTACTGTGGAGAAAGAAATGGAGTCTAGAGAATGCAGAGAAATAAACTTTGGTGTTTTAAAAACAGTTCACATTAAAGAAGGGGAGGTTCGGGGGGGTCTTACAGAACAATAAAGGTGGATAAATCTCTGGGACCTGATCTAATGTATCCCACAATGTTGTGAGAAGTAAGGGAGGAAATTGAGACCCTTGCAGAAATATTTGTATCTATAACTTTGGGTGAGGAGCCTGATGACTGGAAGGTGGCTAATGTTGTACCTTTGATTTAAGAAAGGTTGTAAGGAGAAAACTGGGAATTTTAGACCTGTGAGTCGTCTGACTTTGGTTGTGGATAAATTGTTGGAGGTGATTATAAAAATAGGATTTATGGACATTTAGAGAGGCAGAAATTGACTAAGGCTAGTCAGCATGGTTTTGTGCGAGGAAAATTGTCTTTCTCAAACTTGATTGAGTTTTTTGAGGATGTTGCCAAAAAGATTGGCAGAGCAGTAGGTGTTGTATATTTGGCTCTTAGTAAAGCCTTTGACAAGGTTCTGCATGGTAGACTAACTAGTAAAGTTACGTCACATGGGATTCAGTGTGAGCTTGCCAATTGGATACATAATTGGCTTAACTGCAGGAGACTGTGGAGGGTTGCTTTTCAGACTGGAGGCCTGTGACCAGCGGTGTTCCACAGGGATTGGTTCTGGGTTATGTCATTTCTCTAAACAATTGGATGAGAATATAGAAAGCATGGTTAATAAGTTTGTGGATGGCACCAAAATTGGTGGCATTGTAGACAGTGAATCAGGTTTTCTAAGATTACAGAGATCTTGATCAAATGGGTCAATGGACTGAAAAATGGCAGATGGAGTTCAATCTGGATAAATGCAAGGTATGGCATTTTGGTGCAACAAACAAGGGTAGGGTTTATACAATTAATAGTAGGGCCTTGGGTAGTGTTGTAGAACAAAAGGAGCTGGGGTGCAGGTACATAATTCTTTTAAAGTTTGTCTCACATAGACAGGGTGGTTAAAAAGGTGTTTGGCACACTTTCCTTCATTGTTCAGTCCTTTGGAGTATAGGAGTTGGGACGTTATGTTGAGGTTGTACAGGACATTGGGGAGGCCTCTTCTGGAATACTGTGGCCAGTTGTGGTCGCCCAGTTATAGGAAGGATATTACCAAGCTGGAGAGGGTTCAGAAGAGACTTGCCAGGATGATGCTAGGTATAGAAGGTTTGAGTTATAAAGGAAGGCTGGATTGGCTGGGACATTTTTCATTGGAGCGTAGGCGGTTGAGAGGTGACCTTTTTAGAAGTTTATTAAATAGTGCGAGATAAAGGTAGAGCTACTAGTAGTTGTCTTTTGCCTAGGATGGGGGATTTCAAGACTAAGGGGACACATTTTTAAGGTGAGAGGAAAAAGATTTAAAGACATGAGGCAATTATTTTACACAGGGTTGTTTGTGAGTGGAATGAACTTCCTGAGGAAGTGGTGGATGCGGGTACAATTAGTGTTTAAAAGACATTTGGAAGGATACATGAATAGAAAAGGTTTGGAGGGATATAAGCCATGCGCAGGCAGCTGGGACTATTTTTAGTTTGGGATTATGTTTGGCAAGGACTAGTTTGACAGAAGGATCTGTGTCTGTGCTGTATGACTCTGACTCTCCATTTGGTTGGCTTTTATCTCCTTTCTGAGCAGCTGAAGAAGTTGCTCAGTGGAAGTCTTGAAGGTGACTCCATACTGTCGTCTCCAGGGAAATTGGGAATGGGCAATAAAGAGTGCCCATGTCAACAGATGAGGGAGTCCTGGAGAGAGCAGTGCCTACAGAAGGCAGATAGGGGTGGGGAGGGAAATATTTCTTCTGGTTGTGCAGTCTGATTGTAGGTGGCAGAAGTGGTGGAGAATGATACAATGAATACAGAGGTTTTAGGGGTGATATGTGAGGACAAGGAGGATTCTGCCTTTGTTTTTGTTGGGGGGAGGGGATGTGAGAGCACAGATGCGAGAAATGCAAGAGATGCCGTTAAGAGCGTTTTTGACCACTGAAGGGTGGGGTGTGTTGCGGTCCTTCCAGAGGAATTGGGAAGTGTCGAAACTGACATCTATTTCAAGCTACCTAGGCTATACCACCTCTCTCCCACCTTCACACAAGAATGTGATCCCCTCCTCCGAATTCCTCTGCAACCGTTCCTAAGATGGGGCGTTCTACTCCTGAACATCCCAGATTTCGTCTTATTTCAAGGACAACGCATTCCTCCACAACCACTCTTCCTCAACCCCCCCCTGCCAAAAAAAAAGCTGCTGCTGCCTTCTACCACTCCCTGGATAACATGTCCATCCTGGGCATCCTTCAGTGTCACAATGACACCACCTGCAAACTGGAGGAGCAGCACCTCATATATTCCACCTCGGGAGTCTGCAGCCCAATGGCCTAAATATGGATTTTACCGGTTTCAAAATCTCCCCAACCCCCAGCCTCATCCCATAACCAACCCTCCCTCTCATCCCGCCTCCTTGACCTAACACAACCTGTATATCTTCTCTCCCACCTGTCAGCACCTTGCACCTCACTGACCAATTCCCCACCACTCCATACCTGCCCTCACCTTATCACCATCCCACCTACCTTCCCCAGCCCCCTGTCTCTCTTTATTTCTGAGTTCCCTTCCCCCTCCTCATTCCTGAAGAAAGGTCCCGACCCAAAACGTCAACTTTCCTGCTCCTCTGCTGCCTGTTCTGCTGTGTCCCTCCAGCTCCACATTTATAAAGGCTTACCTTGTCTTACTCGCAGTTTAGATGCCCTTATTTAAGGAAAGATATTATTTCATTGAGTGTAGTTCAAAGAAGGCTCACTAGGATGGTCCCCAATATGGAGGGATTATCTTGAAGGTTAAACAGGTTGTGACTCTACTGACTGGAGTTTAGAAGAATGAGAGGTGTTCTCATTGAGACACAGAGGATTCTTGACAGGGTAACTTCTGAGAGGATGTTTCCACTCATGGAAGAGTCGAGGACCAGAATCAATAATTTCAGAATAAAGGGGTGCCAAGTTAAAACTGAGATGAAGAGGATTTTCTTCTGAGGCTTAAGAGTCTTAGGAATGCTTCCTACAGAGAGCTATGCTGACAGTCCTTTTTGTATAATTAAAGCTGAGAAATTCTGAGGAATTGAGGTTTATGGGGAAAGGGGTGGAAAGTGGATGGGAAGAGTGTCTGGTCAGTTATGATCTTATTGAATGGCAGAGTAGGCTCGCAGTGCTGAATGGCCTATTCCTGTTTCCATTTCTCATAGTCTGTCTTAATTCCAGCTGTGTGGCATCAGATTATGGTGGTCTTATGTACCCACTGCTATTACATTGATTATTTCTTGAACTTCACTTTGATTTCACCTGGATAAAAGGGTATTCTTTTGAATTTTGAATTCTTGTACAGTGGTTTCAGTTGGCTTTCTGCCACTACCCCTTTTGACAGACACTCATCAAGCGTACACAGATATGCTCAACAGATGCATTAGAGTTTTTCTCCTCCAAGCTCTCTTAAGATCATTATTATTTTTATTATTTTTTTGGAGGCTGCAAATACAACATCATGACAGGACAACAAGCAGTCACCACATTAGAATCCTATAATTATGCAGCCCAGAAGGAGACGATTTGACTTATGCCTGTACTGGCCTCTTAGAGCTATCCAATTTAGCCCACAGTCCAGCCTTTCTCAGTAGCCCTGTTGTCACCTTAATTGATACAGTTGCATAAAATTCTTATTTTGTCATCTGTGTGGCTATTTTTATACACTTTTTCAATTTTTATGGAAAGCCAACTAAACTGTTGATCTGATGGCCCCTCCATCGGAATTATGGGTAGCTTTTATCCCTTCCCTTGAAAATTATTGAATTTCACCACCATTTCAGTCAGTGCATTTTAGGTCTTTTTTTCTTTTAAATTGTCACCCCTGTGTGGTTCTTCTATTTCACCTTTTTTAATCTGAAATATTAATGACAAGATTAGGAAAAAATTCACCCCAGTTAAGTTGGTCAAGGGGGAATTGTGTGTCTCATTTCTGACCTCATTTAAGTTGTTTTAAGTGTTTATCACAAAGCTGAAGAATATTGCAAGGAATAGGTGTAGGACTGTGAAAGGTAGTTGTCCACAATTTCTTTACCAACAACAATATTTAAATGGACCTTTCAGTGGTTGAAATGGAATTAGATAGCAACAGTTAACCAGCAGTGTGATGTAAGGCTGCTAGATGGGGCCCACTATTCTGGAGAAATCTCTTGCGCAATGATTTTGATTTTTCTGTCCTTTTTTGCAGGTGGGAGGAAGAACGTTATACAGATGGTGTGAAATGGAAATTTCTGGAACACAAAGGACCAGTATTTGCTCCACCCTATGAGCCACTCCCAGATAATGTTCACTTCTATTACGATGGTAAGCTGGCAATTTTGTACATGTTGGAATCTCTGTCTGTCTGAGGATGAAGGAGTGGCTGAGAAACAACAAAATGAGCTTATTGAGCAGAAGTGTCACTGATTCAGTTGGTGATACAGTTACAACCATGCCATGATATCGACTAATAAAACTACGATTCACAGTATGTTCGGTTGTAACCGCCCCTATGTTTTAGTTTAAATAATGCCCATGCCCTTTCTTTCTAGAATAATGACTGGATAGTAATTGAAGCTTCAAAGAGCATTGTTTCGTTGCAGGTAATGGTTGATTTTTGCCTCCTCTCGTGACTTAGTCTTTTAGTTATCTCTCCTATCCTATGGATAGTGTTCACCACTATCTTTTGTTCATCACGAACGCCACCTTTTTAAGTTGCATAAAACAAAGTTCTTTTTGTCAATTTTTAAATGATGATGCTGAATTTGTTTTTTGTTCCAAGCATCATCATCATTCCTGGCCCTTAATTATGATGCACATTCCAAATGAGGATACCAAGTTAGTGCCAAAACCTAGTTGAAGATGTAATTTGGCTTTGCAAAACCAGGCAATCACTTCTGATTATTCCATTACTGTCAGTGAACTAGTTCAGTAGATGTACTGAGTCTTGAAGCACATCAGATGCATTGCCAAGGTTGACAGCAGGATGTGTATTGAGGCCGCCTTTTTATTTAATGTCAAACAGTACAGACGCATAGTATTGTGGACCATGGCAACTACTTACAGTTCAGAATTCATGATCTGCGCATGTGGCTTGCCTTAGCCGTTCATAACATAGATCCTAATTGAGAAATCTTTTTTACAATGGAATTAATAAACATTATGAACAGTTTTGGCTTGTGGAACTATATGAAAATGTAGGGCTGCGCTCAAAGGGAATTACAAAACTTGCCAGTTTTGACAGTGTCTCAATATTTGAATGGACAGCAGTGTTGCTTTCAGTTGGTAGCTAGTTTAATGCCTTGCTCAATATATGGTCTGTGATGCTGCTGGAACCAATCATTCTTAAAGATGCTTGTGTTCTAAAGGCAGTTGTCCCTGCAGCAGTTGTAGGTGATTTTCTTTGTGCTACTTGGGGTTCCCAGCATCTTGTTTATGTTGCTATCCATGTGAGGTCTGTTAGAAACAGCAAAATGGGGCACATTGGTACGTTGCAGGCATATTCTTGTCTCATTACCTGCAGTTGCAGCCCTGATAGTCATTGTACAGCTGCAATGAGCTTAACTGTCTGACCTCATGGAACCCTACTGTTGGGCTGAAATATTTATTCTCGATTGGCGGGTATATTGTGAATTTTCTGGGTTCTGTTGGTTTTTCCCACCTAATCCCTGTGGAGGGTGAAAGAGACGTTAAAAGTTGTTGTCTTTTACGAAGAAGCCACATCCGCATTTTAAAGCGAAGTCAGTAGTCTTGAGTGGGAAAGAAGCCTCACGTTCAGGGATTTATTTTTAAGTTAACAAAAAGAACTTCCTGAGCAGATACTGATCTTTCTAATAGGAAACAATTAACCTAAGATGGTTGGTTAATTTTAAATAGAACCCTCCATTTGCGCTCACCTAATCTTGATCAAAAATGCAAGATGCTGAGTAGCAGCTGGACACTTTGAAATGATTTGGCCTCAAGTCACCTGAATGAATATTACTAGTTAGACAACTCTGCAAATGACTGGTGTTATCAGAATGCTAACTGCTCAGATTTAAGAGGTCAGAAATTGCACCAGCATCTATGCCTATTCACTCCTCGCTATGTCAGGCTCTGTCTTGTTCCCAACGCACTAACTTGTTTGAATTGTTTCATATCATTTCGATGGAAAGGCCTGATTTAGTGATTCACTCCCTCAATGAACATGAAGTATGACAGTTGCTGTAATGTGTCTGAATCAGCCTTTATTTGTTGAAAGGTGTGTCACTTTCAAGTGGTGAGCTAATATTCAACTCTGCTTTGTCCACTTTTCAGTATTTTAAACCATTTCATGACCATTCATCAGGAAGCATTCTTCCATTTCTTTTCTTTTATCCCTTTCTCTCCTCTTCCAGTGCCCACCCTGCACAACTCTCAAACATCTCTAAAATGTGGTGAATGCACAGCAGTTTGTGCCTTCCTGCTGTAGTTGGGAAATGAGGGAGTTGGATGGTGCATTTTGACGTTTGCTTGTGGGAATGCTTATTACTTGACCATCATATGTTGCTTATGTGCGTTCCCGCTTCTTGGGGTGAGCTGCCTGACATTTAACTCTGACCTGCTGAATACTGTTGGTCTGCTTTTATCATAATGTGACAAATTTCATTTATATAGCTGCCCTTCAAGAACAAAACTCCTGCGAGATTTAAAATGGTCAAGAGAAGAGGGGTTGTTGTAGCAGTGAAACAACATTTCAATTTGGAAAGTGGAATTATCTGTCCTAGAAGGCTGGATCTATTGGAGATGTCAACATTTCCCCAACAATAAATTAAAATGGAGTAGAGTATCCAAGGATATGAAGCTAAGGTGGATAAATGTTGTTGAAGTTCAAATCATCCAATTGAATGGTGGGTTCTCAGTTGAATGGCCTGTTTCTGTCACTCTCTGGCACAAGAAGGGTGGCACAGCTCAGTGGTTAGCACTGCTGCCTCATAGCGCCAGGGACCCAGGTTCGATTCCACCCTCGGGTGACTGTCTGTGGAGTTTACACATTCTTCCGTGTCTGCATAGGTTATTGCCAGGTGCTCTGGTTTCCTCCCACGGACCAAAGATGTGCAGGCTAGGTGCATTGACCATGCTAAATTGCCCAATAGTGTTCGGGTATGTGTAGATAGGTGTGTTAGCCATGGGAAATGCAGGGTTACAAGGAAAGGGTAGGGGGATGGGTCAGGGTAGGATGCTCTTCAGAGAATTAGTGTGGGCTTGCTGGGCTCAGTGGCCTCATTGCAGGGATTCTATGATGAAGGGAATTGCAATGGATAAGCTGAATACCTGAAATTCCTCCAACAATAGAAGGAGTTAGTGAGCAGCGGGAGAAATGGAATGCATACATAAGGTAGTTTGAGGTAGCCTACTGATGGGCATATTTGAATGCTGACTGAATTCAATGGGGCCAGTAGAGATGGAGACATGGCAAGCTGATGAAAGCGTTAGAGAAATTTGTCCTCGGTGATGTAAACCTGTGTTCTAGAGGTAGACGAAAGTATCATGACAATTTGCTGAAAACATACGTACAGAACATATCAGGATTTGTTCATTGTGCAGCCGAGGGTGTGAGGTAAGGGGCAGGTGGCCATTTGGGAGCCAAGACTGGAAAAGGGTATCGTCATCGTGGAGTGGAATAAAAGAATGATTGTTACTTTCCTTGTAATCTGCAGGTTAGCAGGTTCCTTTTGAATTCCTTGGCCTTTTAAAACACCTGCATCTTTTGTGCTCGTTATTTTTTTAGTCTCATCATGCACAATTTGCCATGCTGATTCTTGAATCCATGATCTCACTGATTTTGATGGCGCCGTGCCATAAATTAGAACCCTTTACTCGCCTGTTATGTATATCTCCATTCTTGATGTTAAATCTACACCATGAAACTTGCATCTCAAAGTCTGACCTGCAGATTTGCAAAATATTGCCAATAGGATTAGAAATAAACTACTAAACTATAGTGAAACGATTATCAATGCTGTGCTCTTGGCTTTGCCCACTCATGTAAACCTAGTTCATTGAGTGGCCGTGACTGAGGGGTAGAAAAATTCTCTTTCAAACCCAGGGCAGTAGCTCCTCCTGTGCTTTGGATCCTGTCGAGAGGGACCAGGGATACTGATGACCTGGGGATAATGTATCAATTACTGTCTCTGCTAAATAGTGCAATTCTGCTTTTGGGAAAGTATCTTTTAATATGCAGATGCACTTGGATACCATTTAACTCAAAATGCTGTAATGCCTTGTAATAAATATTCTCTTGGTGAATTTAAGCTAGTGACTGCTGTACACTAAGAGCACACAAGGTCATAGCATCTGTGTAGTCAACTAGGTATAAAGGTTTTATACAGCTTGTAAGACAAAATTAGCATCCACCATTTGTTTTTGAGTTCATGTAAGTTGATACCCCTTCACTTGAACACAAACTTGATTTCGTGATACTGTGCCCTTACTGGTTCAACTCCTTACTTTTACTTCAAAAGAAAGTTCCCTCAACACTGTCCCCATTAAACACTCCAACAACAGGGACAGCACAGGGTGAATACGGAGGAAAGACTTGTCCTACTTTTTAAAACTAAGTTCTTTCAACACCGGTCCTTTATTGCCTCATTGCTGCTCTGTGCTCTGCAATGTGAGCCATGTTAAAGCAACTTTTTAAGGCAGCTGGCCATTTTTCCATTTTTTTTTTTGTTTTCTCTTCTCCCATCTATCCCTGGACATGCTGTTGTAATTCCTCAACTCCCTTTTTTACATATGGTGCACACGTGTGTGTGCTCTGACAGGAAGAATAAGGTGAGTGCTGTGTAAGGGTTGTACTGATTTTGGAGTACGTTTTACAAAGGTTCAACTTCGGCATGCTGTGCACTGATTCAACTGAAGGCTATTAGTGTATTAAATGTGTGAGAAATTCCATATCATAATGGGTTTGTAACCTCTAGAACTACCAATCCAAGCTGGGGTACAAGCCTGTTATTTTGCTGAATGTATGGTTCTATAGCAAACAAGTTTTGGACGTAAACAATCCTGTTCATATCAGGCAAGAGTCTATATAATAAAGCTTCCTCCAATTTCTCACCTCTATCAAAGCGGCAACCAATAGCACTACAGTGGTTATGAAGCAGTTTCTGGGATCTGTAGAGCATGATCTTGACAACAACTTGCTTTGATTAGATGCATCATGTGAATGTGACCAAATTAAATCTTTGCAGCACATGACACAAGGAGTAACGGTGAGGCTTGGTCAAATTGGTGAGCTTGAAGGTCTGTGTTAAAGGTGAAAACAGGCATAGAGGTTTAAGGAAGTAGTTCTAAAATTGGTCTTAAGCAATTGAAAGCCATGGGCAGTGGCCAATGGTAGAGTAGCTAAAATTCGAGACACTTGAGGGACCATCATTGGGAGAGGGCTGAACTAATTTTTGGGGTTGTAAACCAGAAGAGATTAAACATTTGGAGATGAAGGGGCAGGAAGGTGACGATAGTGTTGAGACCATGGAGGAATGTGAAAGATTGCTGTAAATTCTTTTTAAAATTTTAATTGGAATCGTTGCTTACACAGACCTATAGCAGTTAGTATTGAAAGGGAAATGCTGGTCCAGTAACTGCTGCTCTCCTTTTCTGAGAATGAGGGATGGGTATGTTGGAACAGCTTGGACCATCTTTGATCTGCACCTGGTCATTCCAATTGTAACCACTGTACATGAAACTGATTTGGGCACCTCTGCAAAGCTATCCTTCGCTTCAGTGCAGACTGAATGTAATGTTCTTGTGTAATGAAATTTTGATTTTGTGGTCATAACCATACATTCCAAGATAGCAAGCTTGAGTATGATTGAATGTGTAAATGTATTGTCAGTTTGGATGCATCCTTCCAGTCTTTTTGGTGTATAATTTCAACCTTCTTTTCAGGGAAACCTATGAAGCTGAGCCCTCAGTGTGAAGAAGTTGCAACATTCTTTGGTAAAATGCTTGATCATGAGTACACTACAAAAGACATCTTTAGGAAGAATTTCTTCAAAGACTGGCGGAAGGTATAGTCAAAAAGACTAGCTTTGGATTTTGGGTGGGTGTTTATTAAAAACAGTCTTTCAGTATCGAAATCCTAGATTTTAATGTCTGGCTGTGCTTTTATCTAAGCTGTAGGTGTGGTTTTAGGTTAACAATGCAAACTGAAAAGTAGCAGTGCAATAGTCCCTCAGTGCTGCACTGGAGTATTGGTCTTTTCGTACTCCAGTTCCTGGCATGGGGCTTGAACAGATAAACCTTCTGATTCAGTTGATTGCTACCTGCAGTCACAGCTGACACCCAGCTTGGACAAGGAGTTTTAGCAGAGGGTGTTTGAATTATTTTTCTGCTTAAAAAGTTATACTTTAGAAATCTTTTTCTGACATGACTCTACACTAAATGACTACTGTACCCACCAATGTTTTGGTCAAGATCAGAGGATGCTGTAAGGTGGGAGAAGTGTCCTAAGGTGTACCAATTGACATCCTGTTCGGGACAGTTTGGCAAGACATGTAGTGATAAATACTTTGACTGGAACCTAGTCAGTGACCCTGCTTGAACTTTGTGCTGCAAGGTTGGTTGGTTTCTACCACTGGCACTCTCCAGATCTGCAGTTTAGTAAACCTGGCATCCATGATCAGTTTGGCCTGCTGTGTTCATCCAGCTCTGCACCTTATTATCCATGATCAGTTTTCCTTCATGGATTTTGATTTTTGTAAGCTTTGTATTTAGCTTGTACCACAAACTGCTTTTCATTTGAGGTTTCTGCTTTGATCTAGGAAATGAAACCTGAAGAAAAGGCAGTCATAACAGATCTCAACAAGTGTAACTTTGAGGAAATAAACCAATATTTTAAGGCCCAATCTGAGGCTCGAAAGCAGATGTCCAAAGAAGAGAAACAGGTTTGTAAAGGGAGATAAGTTCTGCTGAGTGTTGTGCTACCAGGTTGAATTCCTTTTGGTGTTGGACAATCTCTTGGAATGGTAGTAGGAAAGCAGTAATTCATTTCAGCTCTGGTTTAAGGAAGAGAGATGTATGCCATGGATTTCCCTTCCTACTTCAAGAAAAGTGCAAGAAGTATACGTTTGTATTTGTCAATGATTTCAGACTTCACCATAGTACCGTCAAGGGTCTATCTTGATAAATGCTCTTGATCTTCAAATGTAAAGAATTGCCCAGCCAGGATAAGACTGGAACAAAGAAATGTAGCATTTAGAATTCATTTTTGAATTTTTTTTTCTAGAAATTAAAAGAAGAAAATGAAAAGCTTCTACAAGAGTACGGGTTTTGTATAATGGACAACCACAAAGAGCGGATTGCAAACTTCAAGATTGAACCACCGGGACTCTTCCGTGGCCGTGGTAACCACCCAAAGATGGGCATGCTGAAAAGAAGGATCAGGCCACAGGACATAATCATCAACTGTAGTAAGTGAGTATCTGAGTGGAAGCCCAGGCCTTCTGCAGGTAATGTTAACGAGATGTACTGTGTTTTAAAAAAAAAGGTTGTGACAGGACTGCTCATCAAAAAGGTGAAGTTCAAGCCCAATTCACGCTGAGCCGTACAGATCAACAGAGTGTATGAATATATCCCATTCTGTGCTGAGTTAGCTACCCTTACCTGATGCAACATTACCTGGACTAGGGAACAGGTTGAATCTACCAATGTTTTCATTCATGAATTCAATTTCCCTCTCGCTGCTGTGAAACATCGATGTTGGATGAGAACACAACGGTCTGTTGTGCCCCCGGCAGTCACTTTTTCTAACTTCTCCATGTCAAATGACCACAGAGGAAATGTGCCTGTAGAGGAGGTTCAAAGTCTTGTGTAGTTCCCGCCTGACATTTAGTCATTCTTTTAAAGTAGAACTAAACAGCTGGGTTTCTCCAAAAATGTCAAAACTACATTGAAGGAACGGCACTGTTACTAGATCAAAAACCTGGAACTCCTCTCCGAACAGGAAGTACTTGGGAATATTTGCATCAGGTGGACTTTAACAAGGCGATTCACTGTCTTGAGGGCAGCCAGGAATGGCCAACAAATGCTGGCCATGCCAGTGATGCTCTCATACTGTGAAAGGATTTTAACATCCACAGGATGGAACTGTGAGGAGTCATTTCTCCTAAGAGTTTTGGTATGAATCAAACTAAATTCACTTCTGTTAGAAAGCAAGCTCTTTATTTAATGGCAACATTTGTGTACCTTTTTATGGAAAATATCACCAAGAATTTGCTGTATAAATCCAGGACTAAGCCATTTTTAAGGCATAGTCGGTTGCTTTAATGGGCAGGAATCCAACATTGTTCACTCAAGGACTTACAGGTAAATATCACCTTTTTATAGAATAGGGCAAAGAGGGCTGTGTTATAAAATGTTCTATTCATTTCTGAATGTTGCTTGTTATGTAGTATAGTTTCAAAGACTAGTCCTGGCATTTTTGATCAGTCCTTGTGCTAACTGTTGAACTGATTCTGCTTAGAGGACTCTTATTAAGAAGCTCAGTTGGTAGTCCTGACTATGATATGGTGCCAATCATAACTCTCCCAAATAGTAAGACACTGGCTAGCTTTTGCTGCTTGCAGTAGTTTTTACGTGCCGTATAAATGTTGATGCTTCCCTCCAGTGGTGAAGAACAGATAATACAGCAGAAAGCAACATCAGGTTCTGAATCCTGGATGAAATTTGAGTTTTGTACTATTTTTGATATTTTTGGAAAGACTGCTCTGGAAAGTGGGGAACAGGAATTTAAATCAGTAAAAATATGCGGGTAAAGTCTTTCAGGAGGTGGGCAACCCTGCTGCAGTATTAAATAGGTGAAGTTGATGGCTAAATTGAGAAGCTACAGTAGCTGTCAGCCTAAAAGCATCAATTCCTTGCTTATGTTTTTATTAACAGTATTTTTACGAAACACCCCAATGCATGAATTAATAGTAATTTTTAATATACAGTAGGATAAATATGACAACAGTTTGTTGATAAGTAACTGAGTAGTCTAAACCCCCTCTTCAACTCTTTTTTATTAATAATAATAATAATAATAATATTATTATTATATTCAGGGACTCCAAGGTTCCATCACCTCCTGCAGGCCAGAAGTGGAAGGAGGTACGACATGACAACAAAGTGACTTGGCTAGTGTCATGGACTGAGAACATCCAGGGCTCCATCAAATACATCATGTTGAATCCCAGCTCCAGAATAAAGGTACCACAGGCACAAAAGTGGGAGAAATAACCCAACTGTGTTGAATTCAAGTTATTCTTTTAAGAGTTATATTTTTGCAGAGCTTATCCACTCCACAAGACTGAATTCATGAGTGCTGAGAGGGAGAATTTCCTCATCCTTAGGAAGAGAGATAATATAAAGCTGAACCTTTTTCAACTGTAATATTAATTCCAATAGCTGGCAAATAAGATTTGCCAACTTCACAGTTCAGCAATGATAGGTGGTGGGCATGTTGGCCATTTGAGGGACAAACAACACCCGTAGAAATATGAACAGCACATGCAGAGACCTTGTTTTGTCTTATGTTGGCCTTTGTACTTTTGGCATACTCCACTTAATTTCTCCTTGCAACACATATTGTTGTCTTAGTGTGAAGATCTATTCCCAGCAAACAAAACGACGGGATTCAAAAATAAATCTGTTCTATTTGAATTTCGAAATGTTAATCCAAATCACTTCCTGCCTTGTGTTACATGTAATGGCAGTATGTAATCTGGGTCGAAGACCTTTTCCACTAAAAATAATTGGCTGTTTTGAAGCCATGCTGTTGCCAGTGTTTTGTTAGCATGTGATTTAATTATTATTTGAGCAGTTTGGCACTACTTAGCATCACTGTCCTAGGGCCTAGGTCCTTGGACATCAGTCACTAGCTAATGAACCATGATTCGTTACCATAGTTTTGAAATCTGACTGACTTCTGCATAAATAGGGTGAGAAGGATTGGCAAAAATATGAGACTGCTCGGACGTTAAAGAAGCATGTTGACAAGATACGTGCACAGTACAGGGAGGACTGGAAGTCAAAAGAGATGAAGGTCCGGCAGCGTGCTGTTGCACTTTACTTTATTGACAAGGTGAGTTAAGGATATTGTTAGATGAGTGTTGTAGTTGAGAGAGATTCTTGTGTATCCTGTAAATAAGAGCTTGTGCATCAGCAGCCTAGACCTCTAAACCAAGCCCCTGCTATTCAGTTTTTAATGAGACCACAAGTAAACCCTTGGTTATTGTTGACCAACAGCATATAATTAAATTAACAGTAAGAGTCTTGTTGTGCATGGTACCTGCCCTTATGGAGATGGAGTTGGGTGGTAGCGATAAAGGGCAAATGAGAGACACAAACCAGTGCATTAACCTCAGACCCTGCAACAGACAGATTTCTTTTTCATGTAGCAATGACCCAGTATCAACTTGTACATCCGAGTTTCATGGTCAGAAAAACCTAGTCGAATTTGACCTTATGGCTAAAGATTCCATCTGACGTTACTACGAATAGTGGAAGAAAGGGCTAAGTTTATTGGGGCTGCCATTGTAATCATCGTTCAGTCTACCTCTGCGCAATTGTCAACAATAGCTTACTGATCTTGTCCATCTCCACTGTCTCTGATACTAAGCCCTTTTCTCCCCTTAACCTCCATATATGAAGTGATATAAGCTGTCTCAGAATTAGCTTATATTCACTATTTTTAGGAAGGTGAAAGGAAGAAGTTGTATTTGCATATTGTTTTCACAACTTCAAAGCTATGGTACACCATCTTTTCAAAGTGTTGTCTGACATAATGAAATGTTTTGGGTGTTTTCTCATCATAATGCCTCATTGCAGGGTCTTTCTGTATGAAGTGAGGTACGGGTTCTTTGTAGGAATTTTTTTGTGTGCATCACTAATTAGCTGTGATTCTGTTGCTTTGCCCTATTTTTTTTCCCCTCGCTTCATAGCTAGCTCTGAGAGCTGGAAATGAGAAAGAAGAAGGTGAGACTGCAGACACTGTGGGTTGTTGCTCACTTCGAGTAGAGCACATAAACCTGCATGCTGAAGTTGATGGTCAGGAATACGTGGTTGAATTTGACTTCCTGGGTAAAGACTCCATCCGATATTACAACAAAGTGCCAGTGGAAAAAAGGGTAAGATATTTGGGGCTGTTGTATTTATTCTTCCCAGTCTGCTTCCACTATTTGTTCATGGTCAGTGATGTTGTGTATCTGAGGCAGATTCAGTCACGTCAAGGGTTCATCCAACCACCATGTATGAGTCTGTACCATGTTAGCTGACTTGTAGTGAGGTGGCTGTATGGGTGCCAAAGCTAGGCTCCCACTGCTAATGGTTGTCCAGCATTCCCTATTGGAACTTGGGAATACTGCGTGAGAAATAAGATTACATGTTGTTGTGAGGCCTTTTACAATTAAGCGGCCCACTGCCACTCATAACCATCTTATTTGATCACTTTCATTGGGATGACACGTGTACCCCAGCATGGGGGATGAGGAGATGGGCCATTTTGAAAAGCATCCTTTGTCATTTAAGGATTTGTAACCATCAGTAGTTTCAAGATGATACAACCTAGGAATGAATTTAAGTGATTTTTGGTGAAATTACTGCAATGATTGATATCTACAGATGTTCAGACTTTTAATGTTGCAGTATGTTTTGAGGGGGGAGAAAAGTTCTGATACGCATGTGTGATGCATATGGATGGAATATTTCCATCAGCTAGGTTGGTATGGAGTAATTTTCTAACTGTCCTTTAGCCATATCTTATCACTGACAATGGTTGATGCCACTAATTTGGCACTGAAAATGCCAAATATGAACCAAAGTGGATCTTTAGACTGTTCTTTACAGAAGCTGAAATTCTTTTTTTTTTAAAAGAACCAAAAGGACTGCAGCTGCTGGAACTCAGAAGCAAAAACAAAAATTGCTGGCAAAGCTCAACCAGTCTGGCAGCATATGTGGAGAGAAATCAAAATCTTTTTACTTTGGTTTTTTAAGCTGGAGGATACTTATTTGTTGTTAACACATTTTGGGCTTAGTTTTGTATGTTCCAACATATGGTGTATATGTTTCTATATATACCTACAAGTATTGTGTAAGCTTTAAAGACAGTTAAAAGGGTTTTCTGATGAAGGGTCTAGGCCCGAAACGTCAGCCTTTCTGCTCCTACGATGCTGCTTGGCCTGCTGTGTTCATCCAGCCCTGCACCTTTGTTGTCTTGGATTCTCCAGCATCTGCAGTTCCTACTATCTCCAGTTAAAGGGGTTGCTGACCTGACCGTGTCTGCTTGTTCTTTACAATGTTGTCAATCTGTTTTTAAGCAAAGTTGCAGCCCTGAATGTTTGGCTTTCATGTCTGTTTACCAGCCCCCGATAGTACACCCAGTGCTGCAGTGCACAGTACAGTCTGTACTTAATTTCTGCCATGGCACTTGGCTGGTATTGCATAACTTGAAATGAACTTCTGTGAGATTTTCTCCTGAAATTTTGAACTAAGGGGTAGGCCCTTTGGGATGCATGTTGTGTGGTTACTATTACTGTATGGAATTATAAACTGCATTGCCTAAAAAACCTTACCATATCAAAGCTCATGTCTAAGAATATCAGTTTATTGAATCTGATGAATCTGTAGTGAAGTTTACTGTAATCCTACAAAGTAAGTGCTTAAATAGAAAAACATAGCAAGGGAAGAGTGCCAACAAGGGTGGTTTTGGAGCCAAGTTGGTTTTTAGTTGTTTTTTTTTTTTTTTTGAAGTGAAGTAGTTTCAGCGGAAAAGTGCAATGCCTCATTCTTCATGTCCCTTAGGTGTTCAAGAATCTTCAATTATTTATGGAGAACAAGCAACCTGAAGATGACCTTTTTGACCGACTCAATGTAAGTCATACTGTTGAGATGGGTGGGGTTCACAAGGGGAGCATTGTCATAAATTGGTGGATTACATGTTTTTGCTTTTCTCCTTCATCCTACTGGCTTGCGCTTTTTCTTATGCTGTGCATCTTTAGGAAGGTGCTTTACAGAAATCAAGCACTTTCTGTAGAGAAGGGACTTGCTCCTTCATTGAGGCTAACAGGATAGTTGAGGTGTACAGGATTCTTGTCTTTATCAGTCAAGGTGCAGATTAAGAGCAGGGAGGTTGCATTGGAGCTGTACCTGACTTTATTCGGGCTGCTGCAGGGTTACTGCGTGCTGTTCTGGTTATCATACTAGAAGAAGGCTGTGATTGTATGGGAGGGATGCAGAGGAGATTCGCCAGGATGTTGCCTGACTGGACAAGTTTGGGTTGTTTCTTTAGAGTAGAGAAGGCTGAGAGGGACCTGATTTAAGGGCATGGACAAGGCCGATTGCAGTTGTTGCACTTGGTTGAAGGATAAAAAAAAGGAGGGTGCACTTTAAGTTGAAGAGGAAATTTTGAGGAAAATATTTTCATCAGAGGCGGTGGGGGTCTGCAGTGCACTGCCTGGAAGGTAGTTCAGGCATGTAACCTTGCAACCTTTTTAAATGAGCACTTTAAAATGTCAGAACATTGAAGACTATAGGATTTTTTTGTAGTTTCGGCAATACAGACTCAACGACTGAAGAGCCTCTTCTGTACTGTGAGATCCTAGTTGCATATGTACTGCTTTCAGCTGCTAGGAATGGAGGTTTTGTAATACGGACATTAAAGAAGAAGAAGAGTCTAATGTCTTTGGATCCATTTGAAGGAATTTGAATGCAAATTTTAATGTGCAAACAGTAATTGGCACTAGTCAAGAAAACTGAGCTTTGGGGTAGTCGGTGACCTCTGGTTTATGAGAAATACTATATGCAATCCACCTTTTCATACTTAAAGCTGTTCCAAATCACTTTACAGCTAAGGAGATACTTTTGAGTTGTAGCCATTTCAATAACACAGGAACTAAATAGAAACGTTGCCAGGAGAGAGGGATCCATTTGTTGTTCATTCCCTTTCTGATGTCCAGTTAAATTTGTGGTGCAGCTGGCAGTGGTTTGAAATATATCCAGTTTCTTTATCTCGTTTTAAAAAAAAACATGTGGGATCCATTTGGTGCTTTCAGCAACCAGATTTTCTGGTCACAATCAGTGACGTAGCTAGCAGTTGAAAACTAAAAATGTACCTAATTTATCAATGTCTCCTGGTGGCTTTGTGCTGTCTTTGTTAGGATAAATTTGAGCATATACATCCAAGTGTTTGTTTTGTCTTTTTATATTATAAAAATGCTCAATTTTCTATATCTTCCACATCAAAGTGTACAGATTTAAATACCTTGCAGGTTGACGTGGTTTCTAAGTTGTTATTGCTCGAATGGCAAGCCTAGAAATCTTAAATCGCATTTGGAAGTGGGAAGTGTCAAACTCGAGTCCATTAAGGGTTGTGTAAATAGTTCTGAGTAATGTGCTATTATATATGTGTACTGACTTGTTGTCTGTCTTTTTGTATAGACTTCAATCCTCAATAAGCATCTCCAGGAACTAATGGATGGACTTACAGCTAAAGTATTCCGTACCTACAATGCTTCTATCACCTTGCAGCAGCAATTGAAGGAACTGACCAACCGTAAGTACAAATTGCTTTGCCATATCTGCTGACACCATGCCAGAGGTCAGAGATGCTCACTACCTCCTGACCCATTCGATCCAGTTTAGTAATGTTGCTGTTGGAATAGGGAAGGTTTTTTAAAAAAAAAAAAAAAAAAAGTTTACTGTTGATTTTATCTTGAAGTGACTAAACCAGGTTCAAATGTTGTCTTGTCAAATATGGGTGGTGACTTAAAATGTAGAATAATGAATCCTTTTGAAATGATGCTAGATCAGTAATCTTGCAGAGGAATCAAATGACTTACCTAAACTGCAAAAGCGAAGCTTGGTTATTTAATCCAAGGATGAGAGGTTTCTGCCATTTGACAGAACTCCTGATTTCAAATAATGGCATTTACTCCCTTTCCCTGCTGCTCCCCTGTCCCACCCCTGAGCTTTTGCTGTCTCTGCCTCCAGTACACTGAGAAGAGTGAGGTAAGATCTCCACCTGGATAATCTGCTTTGGTAAAGTGCTCCTAAAGGATCTGCCACTCAGCTTTGTGCCAATCTTGATATAACTGTAATCTCTTGTTCCACCAGGAAGGCAGGCTCTACTACAGGAGGAACCAAAGGAATTGAGGGAGGGATGGTAGAGGACCAGTGGAGCCTAATCCTTGGAGAAGTTTAGTGAGCCTGGGGCAGTATGGAGAGTTGGAGCACAAGTCTTGGCGTGGTTTGGTTTTGCTAGGGGTTGAGGAGAGTCTGCTGTTTTGAGTTTGGTGTTGGGGAGGGGTGGAGGGTTAAGTAGAAAATCTCGTGAGTGTGAGAGGTGAGGGCTAGGGAAGAGAAAATGCTGAATGACGACGTTGTGGGTGTCGTTGATGACGGGAGCTGCAGAGTACGTGGGGTGGATGTGATTTGTGAGTAGTGGTTGTGAAGCTGGCGAGAGGACCTCTGCATGTGACTGGGAGAGGAGCTTCAGTGAGTCTTCTGTCACCGGGGAATATGGGGAATTGGGCTGTAACCTAAATGAGTCTACAAAATGATATTTGAAAAGTACTTCAAAAACAGCGGATTTTAGTATTTGTTTAGGGCTGCAGCCAGTCAAGTGGCTGTTTCATCCTCAGTGGTATCCAACTACTTGAGTCTTGGAGTTGCACTCATCCAGACAAGTGGGGAATGTTCCATCACACACCTGACTTGTACCTTTTTAAATCGTGGACAGGCTTCAGGGAGTTGGGAGGTCAGTTACCTGTTGCAGGATTCCTAGTAGCTGAGCTGCTCTTCTATTGATATGGTTGGTCCACTTCAGTTTCTGGTTAATGGTAATGCTGTTGAATATCATGGGAAATTGGTTAGATTCTCTCTCACATTAGAGAATGCCATTGCCTCGAGTTTTTGAGTGGTGTAAATATTATGACCACATCTCAGCCAAGCCTGTTGTCTAGGCCCTATTCTACTGTTTCAGTATCTGAGGAATTGCAAGTGGTGCTGATCATTGCACGATCATCAAGGGAACGTCGTTGAAATGATTAGACCTAGGTCCTCTTGTGACAATGGTAGCATCCCTACCTCTGCACCAGGAGACCGAGGTTCAAATCCCACCTGCTCCAGAAGTGTGTAATAAAATCTGAGCAAATTGATGTGGAAATTTCTTGCGGTACAGCAGTCGTATCCCTACTTGTGAGCCAAGACATTTAGTTTCAACTTGCACCTGTTCCAGCGGTGTGTATAAATATTTCCAAACAGATTGAGGAAAATATCTATCTCCCTTACAATGGGAAGGAGAGTCCAGAGGAGCATTTATCCTGAGAAACTTCTGCAGAGATGTCCTGGAGATGAGAAGACTGACCTCCCACAACCACAATCATTTCCCTTTTGTGCTAGATCTGATTCCAGCCAGTGAAGAGTTCTCTCCCTGATTCACATTGACTCCAGTTTTGCTAGGGTTCCTTGATGCCACATTCTGTGAAATGCAGCCTTGATGTCGAGGGCAATTAGTCTCCCCTCTCTTTTTTTGAATTCAAGCTGTTCTGTCCCTATTTCAACCAAAGCTTAAGAGCTGTGTGGCCCTGGCGGAACCCAGACGAAGTGTCAGTGAGCAGGCTATTGCTAAGCAATGATGCTTTCATTACTTTACTGACGGTCCAGAATAGACCCGGGTGGTAATTGGCCAGGTTAAATTTGCCTCTTTGTGTACAGGACACCTGGGCAATTTTCCACATTGTCAGGTAGATGCCAGTGGTACAGCTGCTCCAGACAAGCTTGGCGTTTTCATTATCCTTGGCAGAATATTGTTGGCACCCACAGCCTTTGCAGTCTCTTCGTTGGGTCCTGGAGGCGAACAAGGGAGATTCTGTCTCCAGATCCACTAGCTCATGGGATGTGAGCGTCACTGGCTTAGTCAGCATTGATGCCTAATTGGCCTTGCGGGTAGCAGTGAATTAAAATAGTGTGTTGCATTGAATAATGTCTTGTGAAGCATTGTAATAATCTGTTGCTTTTCTTTGCATGTACATAACTGAAGTCCTGTTCTGTTTTGCAAGCAGTAAAAAAAGAATTAAGTTCACATTAACTGCATTAATTACTGAAATTGAGTAGTTTTGTGCACAAATGAAAACTAACGTCTATCCACTTGAAATCAAGTAATTTCACCTATTTAAAGTGACCCAAAGCATTTTTCATTTCATGAGAGATCATAAACATTGTTAAAATTAAATAATTTTAAGTCTCACTTTCCAGACTATTTTTTGTTATTTGCACCTCAGCCCAAATTAAACCAGAAGTCAATTAAACAAGTCAGAGCTATTGCCATTATATTTCTGTTAAGTATTTTGCTGCTGTCATGTGCTTCTATAACTGTAATAATCAAAGTTGAAAGGAACCCAGACTGCATGGTACTGAGGCGAAAGTAACTGCAGACTGATTTTGTTTAATTATATATACTGCACTGTAGTAGCAACGTTCTTCCTTTAGCGCTTGCACACCAACTAACATCCAACTTGTCTGTTTATAGCGGATGAAAATGTTGCAGCAAAAATACTTTCTTATAATCGTGCCAACAGAGCAGTCGCTATCCTTTGTAACCATCAGCGGGCACCTCCCAAAACATTTGAAAAGTCGATGCAAAACCTGCAAACCAAAGTGAGTATGAGCTTTTATTTCCCCCATCCCCAAAAACAATGCAAAAAATAAAATAACTATTTAAAGAACTTATTTTCCACCTGGAGTTCTGTTATGCCATAAGGTTTGGTTTCACGCTGCACTGTTAACTGATCTTCCTTCATACCACAATAGACTCTCCAGCTGAGCAAAAAAGAGGATAATAGTTCTTGCTCCTCCCAGTATCCCAGTAATTTATTACATGTCGATGTCTGGTGAAGATTGATTCTTGTTAGTTGGTGGCCAAACAACAGTGATGCACATACCAAGAACCAGAGTGATATACTTGATGTTCGTGGAACTGTACATAAGAACATACAAGTTAGCTGACGGAATACGCCATTCAGTTCTCAGCCTTGCTCAGCCATTCAATAAGATCATGGCTGAATTAATTAACTCCACATTCCTGCCTACAAGATAACCTTTCATCCCCTTGCTTATCAAGAATCTGCCTGTACCTTTTAGACAGATTCAAAGGCTCTATTTCCACTGCATTTTATAGGAAGAACATTCCAAAAATCTTCAACCTTCAGGGAGAGAAAAAATTGTGTGGCAGATTCTCCAAGTAGATACATCTTGCGATGTGACTCTTCAAGATATTATGTTGTAATTAAGTCACACCTATTCTTCTGTATTGCAGTGGATATAAGCCCGCCCAGTCCAAACTTCTCTTGTTAGGTATTGCTCTAACAATATATCTTTTGAATTGCTTCCAATACAGTTACCCTCCTTTCAAATAAGGAAGCCAGTACTGCACACAGAATCCAGATGTAGTCTCATCAATGCCCTGTATAATTGGAAGATAACCTCTTTACTTTTGTATTCCATGCCCCTCATGGTAAATAATCACATTAACTTTCCTAGCGTTGCTGTACGTGCATGCTAACCTTTTTGCGCATCACGTACAAGCATACCCATATTATTTTAGATGATTGGTTTTTTTTATTCTCCCTTGTCAAAATGGACAAATTCATATTTTACCACATTTGTACTACATTTGCCAAATTGTTGTCCAATGGCATTCTGCTTCGTAGCTCCCATGTTGCAAGTTGCACGCTGTGAGCTTTTATTTTCTGCAATAGCCTTTGTAGCACACTATCGTATGCTTTTTTACAATCCAGTACAGTACATCCCTTTTCTCCCCTTTTATCTCAACCATATGTTACTTTTCAATACTGCAATAAGTTGGTTAACTATGATTTCCCTTTCAAAGCCATATTGGACTCTGCCTGTTTACCTTGCTTTTATTTCAAAGTGCCCTGCTACAGTGTCTCAAAGTTTCTAACACTTTCCCTACAACATATTTAAGCTAACTGGCTTGTAGCTGCTTTTTGTCTTCCTTTCTTGATCAAAGGTGTTACATCTATATTCAACTGTAATGGAACTGCATTTAAATCAAAGAATTTTGGAAAATTAAAACTAATGAATCAACTTTTCCTCTGGCCACTATATACTCTGTCTGACAGTTTGCTGAGTTGTACTTTTTCTTGAGTTCCTCTCCATTCTAATTCCATCCTGTATGGTGAAGACCATTGCAAAATGCTTGTCTAATTCATATCTTTGAATTTCTGTTGTTAATTTCCTTCTTTCTTTCTTTTTTTCCCCCTATCAAACAAATGTTTAATCTGACTTTTTAAAATGTTCACAGAAACTGTTACTCTTCTTGCTTATAGCTAGAAATTTCTCATTTTTAATTTTTTCTCTCCTTATTAATCTTTATTATTCTTTGTTTTTAGATCCTGCCGGTTCTTCTGACCTGCCACAGTCTTGCATAATTATAAGCCTTCACTCTGATACCAACTCTGTAACATTTTCAGTTAACCATGGGTGATAGATCCTTTCCTTTTTATTTGGAATTTTCCTTTTCTGTTGGAATTTAGCTGATTTATACTCTGAAATATCCCTTTAACTGTGCTGTTGCAGTTCTGTTGACCTATCCTTTTAATCTACTTCAGTTCATTTTGGCTAGCTTTGCTTTAACATTTTCATATATGCAGTGATTTAAATTTAAAATACTAGTTATGGACCTGTCTTTTTCTCCCTCAAAATGAATGTAAAATTCAATCACTGAGTACTAAACTGAGAGGTGTCTTCACTGAGATCACTGGTTGGTTCCAGAATGTGCTATTCCAATTCAAGAACATCCTAGAACTCTCATCTAGGCTACCTTTGTCCATCTGTTTTTTTTTTCCCCTTGCCTGTATATATTAAAATCTCCAATGATTGCTGTACATTTCTGAAAAGTACCTATTTTTCCTTTAACAACGTGCAGTTAATGGGCCTGTCCACCATGCACTCTCGAGTGGCTTTTATTGCCTCTATAATTTCTCATCTCTACGAAATTGCTTCTATATCCTGATTTTCTGAACTTGAGTCAATTTTCCCCCAAGTTGTTCAAATAGGATCTTTAACTAACAACTGTAACTTTGTTTGTTTTCCTAGCTTCCGGTCTTCCAAAATGTCCTGTACCCTTCAATATTCAGACTTGAACCATGTCATCTTGCAACCACACCTCTGGCTATTAGATTGTACTTGTTTATTCCTGTTTGTATTCTCACTTCATTAGTCTTTTTAAATACTACATGCATTCAGAATCTTCAGTTTCCCATTAAGATTATTTTGCACACTCTAATGTTACCAGTACATTCTCTCCCTTCCTGTCAGTCTGTTCTTCTTTCCCATATTAATACCTTTCTTGATTGTTCTGTATTCTTTGATTTACTGTATCTTTTCAAACTTGGCCCTTTGTTTCCAGTAATTGGCGTAAAAGCCCCTCTACTTCCCAGTTATGTGGCTTACTAGAACACTAGTCCCATTGTGGTTCAGCTGTAGGCGATGTCAGTGGAACAGCTGCCATTTTGCTCAGTATTATATTCAACAGTCTTTCAACCATGTATCTATTTCACTAATCTGATTTTGCCCTTTGCCAGTTGCTTGTGGTTCAGGTAATAATGCAAAGATTGATCTTCAGAGCAGATCTCCCCAACTCTTGTACTGGGTCAGACCCCTTGTTATTCTGTTTGCTGCCACTGCTACATTCCTTTACTTTCTCACATCAGTCATTTTAGGTTATCCACTATGCAGCTTGCTCTTTCATCAATACAAGCTGGAAGAACCTCAGACTTGTTGCACAATTGGAAAGGTTAAGGCTCCTGTCTGTGCCCCACTTACAGTTGCAATTGAGTACCCTGGCAAAAATCAGCAATTTCAACGAAAGGGAGAAAATCTGGAAAGGAAACGTAGGCTAGAAGATTAATTCGCCTGCTGCTGCTTTCATTCAGACTTCTGTTAACTCTAGTCTTGATTTCTTCAATACTATCCAAGCCAACCTTGCCACCTTTGCAAATTTGAAATTATCCAAAACTAAACTCTTAATTTTCCTAAGACTTATTCACACCCCTGAGCTCATTGACTTAGATTCCTTCCCAGTTTTCAGCTCTGCCGTGATCCCATTCCTTTCTCTCTCTAACCTCGAGTGCCTACTGTTATAATTCGGGCCACCTTGTGCGTCCCAATTTTATTGACTTCACTGAGGCAGTCATGCTCTTGGCTTACTAGATCAAAGCTCTACAATTCCCTCTGTAGACATCACTACCTGTCTGCCTCGTTACTTCTTAAGATTTTTCGTAAACTCAAACTCAAACTCCAACTCAATCCAAGTGGTAGGATTTTGATCACTGTCCTAGTAGCATATTTTTAACGTATTGATAATGCTGCCATAGTGCATCTTGGGATTTATTTGTAGTGCTGCAAAATATAATCTTTAACATTGTCAATTAGAATATGGATAACTGGTATTGTACAAGATATACAGAGCATGAAGAAATGGATATGCACCTACAGATCTCCACAAAATGAGGTTTGAATTTCAGCCATATTGAGGGAAAGTTGTGTGTGGGCACATTTTGTTAAAAAAAAAGGTACTTGTGACTGTCTGGTTTCCAAGCCTAAAATGATATATTTAAACATTGATCACCATTCTACTGCACGCATTTATAGTCTTATTTGTTAACTTACTAAGGAATTGAAATGTCACTAGCAGTCTCCATGAAAGGGGTACTTGGTTTTTAGGTATACCAGAAACTGGTTCTGCAGATGGCTCCCTGTACTTCTTTGAATGTTCCTACCGTAAACCAGAGGCTATCTGCCTTGGCTGCAAGCTTGGCCTTTCCTGGGTCACTGGTTGCTTTGCCCTCTGTACTTCTCTCGCTCACGCTCTTGCATTAGCTTTTCTCCTGTGAGTTATTTATAATGTTTGACTTGTTTAAAATACTGCAGAGAACAGGTAAAGAATACACTTTGTTACAAAAAATAGATTTCACTTCATTATTTTCTGTCGCTATGATTTTTAAGTAAACTACAAATTTAAGTTTGAGACCAAGATAATGTGATGGGTTGCCTATTCATTGTCTATCAACAGTAAAATAGATTGTTGTTAACCGTTCTTCTGACACCATCTCCATGGATAAATTTGGACAAAATCACTTGGTGGCTCAGAACATGAGCGTTGCTTGAAAAGAAACATACTGGCAAAGCTTCTAATCTTGTACTGTTTGGGACAGAATTGCAAGAACAATAGTATGAGAGAATGATTGATTGGTTGACAAGTGCCTGTGGTGGAGGAATTTGCCATGGAGAACCCATCATGGACTATCTGTCCACTAAACCCTTTTCTAGTTGACAAAGGCACAATGCATGCACATCATCTTTCTGTTTTGCAAAGGTCAGGCCTGCATGTGAAGATGGACAAATTCTAGCATGTTTTGCTGAGCCACACAGCAAGCCCAGTTGATACGGTCGTTGCTGGTCTAATTCTGAGTGCAGTTGGAAGTGTTTAGCGTATGTACAATTACAGCTGCCAATCAATTCTTCGACACTGTTCTGAATTTTTCAAGCAGTCGGAGTATATTCAGTACTTTTTTTTTGCAAACAGACCAGGTGGTGAGTTTTTTTTATACAATCCACTGATCCTTGGGATGTGTAGCCTATGTATTCAACATCTCACCAGTGCTAAAATTCACTTACGTTTTAAATACTTTGTCTGATCAGCTGAATGACTTTTTGGCTTGATGGCAGCATCACATCAGTGGAGAATATTACTCGTGTTGCTGCTGTATTGTCACTGTTTGAAAGGGCTTGGCTCACTTGTTCTGTTTTTTTATTTGAGACAACTTACCCTTCCAGGGTAATCTGAATTAGATTGTGTGCATTTTTCAGGACTGAAGATAGTGGCTTTTAAGCCATTCATGAAATTAACCTAACTCTCTGGCAACACCTTTACCAAGTACAATTTGTTTTCCAACCAGTCAGTGCCCTCTTATGCAGTATGAATTATTATCCCCTTTGAGATTTGGTATTCTTGTGTTTCTGTCCTGATGAGTGCAGAATGAAAAACTTTGACTGTGGCTTTTTTTTTCAACAGTACCTTTTGTTGTCAAATCTTGATTTTATTTTGGAAATCAGTTTTTGGTTTTCAAGTTCATATTTTCTCCATTTTTTTTCTGTTTTTTAGATTGATGCAAAGAAAGAACAAATTGGACTAGCCAGGAGAGAGCTGAAGGGTGCCAAAGCTGACTATAAAGTTAGAAAAGATGAAAAATGTAGAAAGTAAGAAGTCTATACAATTATTTTCTTTCAAAAGGGATGAAGCTGAATTAGCTGCCATTGTCAAGTAGCAGCTCTGGTTACTCAGTTGAAGCTCATTTGATGCTAGGGTCATAATCGTGTAGAAGGAGGCCATTTGTCCCACTGAGCCCATGCCACCACTCAAACAATTTAATCCATCCCATTGCCCCACTGCATCCCCTATATAAATTTATTTCTCTTGCATGTCCCTCCGATTTCCCTTTTGTCCCTTCCTCCTCCACTCTTTTCACAGAAAATTCCACTTCATTACCACTTACTATGTCAAGGCTGTTTCTTTCATCACTGCCATAACCTTAAATCCATGTCATGTAGACCATTGTACTGCTAGCTAATGGAAGAGAGAACTTTCTTTATGCATTTTATCTAAATCTGTCCTAATCTTGTACACCTCTTGCCTCCTTTGCTGTGAGGGCAACACATATCAGCTGATCCAACCCTATTTATGTAGCTAATCCCTCGATCCAGGAACAACTGTGGTGAATTTCCTGTGTGCGCACACTCAAAGGCTCTCATCCTCTTTGACTAGAACTGAATACAGTAGTCTAGTGGTGGCCTAATTGAAGTTTAGACAATTTCAGCTGATCCTCCATATTTAGTAACTCCTGTGAGGCCCAAGGTTCCATGTGCTTTGCCAAACACTCTTGTCGATTTGTCTTGACACTTCAAGGCTAATAAAAAGTAAAATGTATAAATATCTAACATCTAAATCTGTTGTCTGTAATGTACATTGTTACAGCATAAATTATCTAAGCATTTATTGCCTTACTGCTATTACAACAAGCATAATCAATTTAAAGTATCGAAACTTCTGTTTTTGTTGTCCTGTAATTTAATCCATAATTTCTTACAAGTTTGCACAGAATAGATTAGGAAAAAACTTGTATTTATAAGTAGCTTTTCATGATCTTGGGATATTTTAACCTTTTTTATTTTGCAAAGCACCCAACTAATTTTGTGCAATTAAATTCTTATCTGGGTACCCTTTTCACTAAACCACAGATGGGTTTAGATTGTTTTCATCTTTTTTCAAATTGAACTCCATACAGTCCACTAATCATCAGGTGAGTTATGAAATGTGAGAATACAAACTCTTACTTGTCCTGTGCTTGACAATTTTGAGACTCCCCACCTTAAAATAGCAGCCCGTAACTTACTGGTGCGTGTATCTGTTCCATCAATCATCTGTACTGCTGAATCCTAAAATATGAGTTCCTGTCTGGTCCTTTTATAACAGCAATAACCAAACTCTGTTTATTATTGCTGATGAAGTCTTGTTGGAGAACTCTGTAATCATTAATAGGATTTATTTCTCCGCACAGATCTGTGGAAAGTAAGAAGAAAGCTCTCCAGCGGCTTGAAGACCAGTTGATGAAATTGGAAGTTCAGGCTACTGACCGGGAAGAAAATAAGCAGATAGCTCTTGGGACTTCCAAACTCAATTACCTGGATCCTAGGATCAGCATCGCCTGGTAAGTAAGATTCTGTTTTGTATTTGACTCAGTTGGGCTCTCCCTAGTGAAGTTTCCTTGACAACAACACAAGATCCTACTCATAAGTACAGGGTGAAACCAACTGGGGGGTGGTGGAGAAAGTTTTGGAGCAAAGAGTAAAGGGTTTTCTATGCACAATAAACAAACACAGAATTTGTAGGCATGGTTAACTAACAATTGACGGAAAGATTTTTAAACTCCGTTGTATTAATCAGCTCCCACTCACTGGTTATCTTGAAGTCCCAAAGGAAATCTCTCATTGCCCAGTGGGAATTGGCAGTTCCTTTATTGGAGGTACAAAATCTAAAATATCCAAAGTAGCCTTTTCTTGAAACTTCTGTTCACACACACATACCCACCCACCCCCTACCAAGGAGAATTTCCCTATCTTTCCAAAGCCATGATGTGGAGGTGCTGGTGTTGGACTGGGTTGGACAAGGTTAGACATCACATGACACCAGGTTATGGTCCAATGGGTTTATCTGAACACTAGCTTTCAGAGTGCTGCTGCTTCCTTGGATGTACTGAGAGATGAGGTATCAAGACAGAATTTATAAGTGGTATGATCCTTCAATCTTTTACTGATGCAAATATATTGAAAAAACCTAAAATGGCTGGCTGACTGTCTCCTGTTAAATCCTTAATCATTTAGAAACAAACGGCAAGTTTCAATTGATTTTAAAATGCAAATCCCAGAATTTCTTTCAAGTTACTGCCCTGAGATAACTATAAAGGTTTTATCAGTATATACAAGAGGTAATATCTCAGATCAGCCAATGCATTTTAGGTGTGAGGCCTTGTTTAGAATCTGTTTTAACTTGGAGTCAGACTGGTTTTATTTCCAAAGCAGGAATTTATAAAATGCACCATTGACTGTCTACAGATTGTGTGCTTTTTGAACAAAATAGAACATATCTGCAAATGCACATTCGCTGCATGGAGGGTTAAGTGTGTTAGCAGTCTAAGTTTTTATTCAGTACATTCGCATCAGTTGTATGATCCTTTGATCTTTGTTATACATTCTATGCCTTGATACCTCATCTCTCACTACACCTGAGGAAGAAGCAACACCCCATAGGCAAATAAACCTGTTGGACTATATAACCTGGTGTCATGTGATTCCAGTCATACAGCACTCAAAATCCAGACAAGTAAAATTTTCTGCAACCTTTCTTTTCTGAAATTTACAGCCAAGGCTTGTATGCGTTTTGTCTACCAGTCATTATTTTAAGACTCTGAGACCCTGAAATTCCTATTCTTGTACTTTCCTTCAGAACTGTTTCCACCTCAATGATGTTAAATTACCTGACTCTTATACCATGTGTGAGAATCTAAATTTGGGTTCTAGATCAGGAACTGATTACAGTATAAACAAGCACAGGTGTGAAGGGAAGGAATGGAACTTGATTAGACTAATGGCAACAAAGCTTTTGAGGAGGTCAGTTTTATAGAGGACAGATGTTGACTGGCTTACGTAGAGAACACTATATGATAACTGTCCACAGAATATCAAAAACACATCAGGAAATTTGAATGATTTAAGAATAGGCTCCCAAATAGAAACGTGAAAATGGAAGCCTAAACTTGTTGACAAGCAAAGGGCTGGTAAAGAGCCTAAAAGATTTTTTTGAAGGTGAAAAGGACTAAAAGTCTGTTCGCTAATTTAAACAGATCTGTTTATTTCCCTTGGCTCTAGCTACACTGCAAGTAACTTTGTCTTATCTATGAAATTGAGTGTTAATTGTTAGGGGAAAGGCCTTTGCTATTCACCTTTTTTAAGGTAGGGAAGTCCAAAACTAGAGGGCATAGGTTTAAGGTGAGAGGAGGACAGTTTAAAAGGAACCTGAGAGGTGACATTTTCACAAGGGTGGTTCATATGTGTAATGAACAGCTAGAGGAAGTGGTCTCCAACCTAATGGATAAGAAAAGACCAATTTGGATTTGGAGTTTTGTTCTGTGTATGAAAGGATTTAATAATGAAATTGACAGTTTTTTTTCTGGATTTGTGTGAAGATTAGTAGTTCGGGTGCTGGTCTCAGCTAGGTAAACACACCAACATCTACAGTTTTTCTGGAGCTATTTTAAGCTAGTGAGCAAGAATGAACTCCTGAAGTGATGATGGGCAATATTTTTTGCATTGAGTTTCATATGATTGAAGAAAACAAAAATTGAAAGGCATTAGTTCGCTTTTTTTGGCTTAGAAGAACAAGGAATTGAATTTTAAAAAGCTGAAAGAACTGTGGGTGCTGGAAATCGGGAACAAAAGCAGGGGTTGCTGAGAAAAAGTCAGGTCTGGCAGCATCTATGGAGAGAAACCAGCATTAACGTTTTCGGTCTTAGTGACCCTTCTTCCATGGAATTGACTTTTTTTTCCACTTGGATAGAACCCACAGATTAGAAAGCTTTTGTTCAGAGTGCATTATATTCCAAAAGATAACTGCATTTAAACAGAATTCAAGTCCATGCTTTTATGTGAGAACATTATTCCAGTTAGTCACAGTGTTAAAATTCTCAGCCCACTGATATATACCCCATGTTCATACAAGCAATTCAAACCCAATTAACTCCTTTTTAATATATCCATCACATGTTCCCTCATTCCATTAGATCTCCAGCATTCCTTCAGGTCATATTAGGTGATAACTGACCACCTAGTTGAAATTAGGTGGTGAAACTGACTGGGTTGGGGGGAAAGAAATAGATTGACTTAGAACTGATGGGTGTCTGCTCCAGTATTTATTGACTGTTCTGCTTATGTATTTTTCCCTTTTCCATCCTCTTCCTTTTGTTTTAAAAATAGGTGTAAGAAATGGGGCATCCCGATTGAGAAGATCTACAATAAAACCCAACGCGAGAAGTTTGCCTGGGCCATTGATATGGCTGATGAAGACTTTGAATTTTAACTATTGATGTGGCTGAAGCTGAGTGAGACCCGGCCTAAGCCACTCTGAGCTGGAGAAGATACATTTTTATCTAATGAGGAAAAAGGAAAAACTCTGTGGTTCCATAGCTACTGTTTTAAGAGGAAGAAAAGCAAAACAAATATATATATATATTCGCACTGATTAGATTGGTGCATTTATACTGTTAGAACCTTGCAATAACTTTTTTTTAAATTGAGAGCTGCAGTCCTGTTTTAAAAATAAAATCAGAGTACACCTGCTTCAAAACTGGTCACTGCTGAACCGTGGGGAAGAATCAGGTGACTGTTCGGCCTGAACTAGAGACTGAATGCTCACCATCCTGTGTTTCTCTTGAAGGGGTTTTTTTGCTTTTATCTTTTAACATTTGTCACTGACCTCTGGTCTGAACCACCAAACTGGAATGCGAATCCAGGTCGAACAAATGGTTTGGTTTGATTTTTAACTGCGCGAAATGATTGTATACATGGATTTAACATGAGAAAGGTTTTAAATTTTAACTAAAGGATTGTTTGTATAAAGAATTTTTTCATTTGAAAGGAGCAGTGGCAGAGCTGACATCAAATGTTTGAGGGTTGGGGTAAAATGAGTTAAATTCCAGAATTGGGTTGATTCAACCAATTGAAGCTGAAGAGCCCTCAGCTGGCAACTGTGCCCTTCTGCGCCTATATTTAAGTGATACACCCTGACTACTTTATGGGGCCAGAGACAATGTTGTGGAGGTTGGAGGTAGACAGTTGGGAATTGAGGGCTCTAGGAAGCATTGCACTTATGACTTTTGAGCTGGTGAGTGCTGCCTTGGCTTGATGTGAAGGCAAAACAGATGCACAGATCTGTAGGCCAGTCAGACGAGGAATCCACTTTGTCCTCCACGGTTGCATTCAGCAACACCTGGAGTGGTGGTGGCCCCTTTCCATACCTAACTTGCTCTGCCGCTGGGAATGTGTATTGCATTCTTTCCCTCACCACTGTAAATTGATTATGCATTTTGTTTTAAATTGATTTTGTTATATTTAAATGCCTATGCTGAAATTTGTTTTTAAAATTAATTTTTAATTGTTTGTTTTGAATGGTACCCACTTTACTTGCAGGTAGTAAAATGTTATCAGGTGGGGATTAAGGAACCCCTCCTCACTGGGCCTGCAAGAACTCCCACAAATAAATTTTGGATCACTGGCCAGAAGATTGGCTGAAATGCAAAGACCTTTTTTTAATTTTAATTTTTTGTAGGGGGGGGGGGGGGGGAGGGAGTGCTCCAGTTGCTGTATGATGTAGTGCCTTGCAAGCCATGTGTTTTGAATAGTTATGGTCTTTCAATCTCCAGTTATTGCTCTGCAAGTTTTTGAATGTGATTTCTTTTAATGGAATGTGGCATGAGAGAGATGTATGTCATGGCTACTATTGGCTTGGTTCCATTTGGTCTTTGAGCATTTAACTGGTCAAAAGCAATTTTAAAATGTTAACTTTTTTCTGTTTTTAAATTTTGAAGTTTTTAAATGGACCATCAAGATTTTTTAAAGACATTCCTTTCTTGAGGGAGGGAGGGGAAGCAAGAATTCCCCCAAAGCACTACTTGAAAACTGTGAAACTGTACTGATGTGTCATGTGATTTTCTGCACCTCCCATGCTAGAGTAGCTAGCAGTCAAAACAAAATGGCTGGGGTACTGGATATAGCTTCCAGAGCATTTGATAAGCAGTGACTACTTTTCCAGTCTGGTGTGTGCTTGTTTCTTGACCCTTTGGGTTTCCTTTTCTGAGACTGAGATGAAATCATTTTTAGACAGAGTTATTGGATAGTAACTAACATCCAGCAGCAACTTTGAGCCCATTGGGGCCCATGTAGTTGTAAGCTGTAGGTTTAATTTTCTTTTAGACCTTTTGTCAATGAGGAAGTATCTACAGCTCATTTTTAATTTACTTAACAATTGTAATTAATTTAAAAAGTGTGCTGTTAAATTAGTACTTTCTTCCTCGTTGTGCATTTTAAAGGCTCCTTGCACTCCATCGAGTAACTATTTGTCTCTAAATTATATCTGATCTTTGGAACCATTTTGAGAGAAGGACATCTTATGAGGCCTTTTATTGCTGTGAATATGTATTTTGTTGTATTTATAAAATTTAAAAAAAACATTTCAGCTTGACTTGGGGAAACAGGAGTAGACAAGTTAACTCGAATTTAGAGGCCCTGTCACCAAAGAGTAAGGGGACTTGATTTAAATGTGTCCACTGGTTTAAGTTGAATTTTTTTTCTTTTTTAACTGTGAATGGTTTTCCTCTTTTTTTTTTGTTTTTATGAGACATGCAACTTTTTAATGCTTCAACTCAGGTTAGAGTGCGCGAGAGAGAGAGAGAGAGAAAGGGTACCAGAATGAACTTGCCTACAATTCCAGTATTTGTGACTTTTTCCATTTTTAAAAACTCTACATCATTTGTAGCTTAACTGGACAGCTGACCCAGTAACCGAAATAGAATTGAGGTCCTTTATTTATTTTTATTCCACTGAAATTTTGGCAATGTAACCTCAATTGGGCAGGGAGGATTGGTCAAAGCCAGAAAGTTTAAAATGTCTGCAAAAGGTGGTGCTTGTTCAATTTTGAGATCAACAGAAGCAAAAGAAAACTAACTAGCTGATTTATACACCTACCGTGTGTTCTGTAGATTTCTTCCATTTGGTCACCCAGCTCGCTCCACGCATCTTTCTCTGGTCAGTGTTCACGGTCACTTCGTGAGCTTTCTACCGATGTGGGTTCCTGATGTCTGTGGTAGCAAGGTGTGGTGACACATCCCTGAGGTATTGGATTATGACATTTTCATATTTCAAAAATTTTAAACATATTTTTTAAAAATGTTTCCTCTGCCCAGTTTAAGAATACTGGTTGTTTCTAAAGCCAAGCTTTAATTGAGCCCTTTTATTTCTGCAGGTTTGTCAGCTTTTTATACAGAATTACACACGATGGCTTTAAGGAGGTTTTGAGTTGAGAAATTAGTTAGGGCAGAAGGGATGCAGACAGGTCAAGCATACAATTAAGATGACTGCTTTTTTACATAACTCATGAATTAGGAGCAAGAGAGGTCTGCTCAGCCCCTCAAACCTGCTCTGACATTGGATAAGATCATGGCTATCTGGACCTGAGCTCAGACCGATCCTAGACTGATGGGACAAAAGTTTGTTTTCAATCTTGAGAGCCTCGTGAAGTAAACTTGGGACGGGTTGAATCAGCTCCCTGCTGGGTATACAGTCTCGGCTACCAAATGACTCCTAGTTCTGCACTGATAGCTAACCTCACTGAAAGGCCATGAGAATAGCTTGTGTGGAGAAAATAATTTATGCGGGTGGGCATACTGATGATCTTTTGGTTTTGAGGTAAAGCACAATTATTTTGGAGTACTGTAGAGAAAGCTGTAGTTTGCATCTTCATTTACGCTATATGTGAACTAATGATACTTGAAGCTGACACTGGATCGAAGTGTTAATTGCTCAGGACCAAGACTCTGGATAATCCAACAACATTTTGAACTGTAACGCAGGAGTAGGAATTGTGTGGGCTTTGTTAATGTACATCACCATTGTCTGCACCAATGCTTTAAAGCCATGCATTTGCCTATCGAGAGATCGTGAACATCTTCTAATCTGAATTACTGCTAAACCTAAGCAGTGAAATTGAAACTAAATTGAACTATAGATGGCCTTTTCTTTGCACCCTTGTTACCCTTTTCCCTACTATCCAGTCATGGGGAACAAATCCTACTGGGGCTGTAGCTCCACACATGCAGCCTGGGTTATGTTTGACTCGGGGGAGCAATGAATCTAGTTTATTCACTAACATATTTTCATTTGGGAGCAATGGCCCATACTGAACTCTAAATAGTACCTAAAGCAGTGATTGTTTAAGCCTAAAATATGAATTGTCCACTTTGTAGGGGTTTGGTCATTTTTCTTTCACTGCCTACTTGATGTAGATGGGAGGCAGAAACTTCTGTGTTAAATCAACATCAACTCCTATCAACAGAGGCCAAGCAACTAGTTGGGACAAACTAGGTATTGGAGCATGTCATAATTATTAGAAAACTGTTTACAAAATTGAATGCACCTACAAGGAAATTGCTCTCAGCTTTACAATGTCTGCCTGTGCTACTTTGCACCAACCTCTAGGACTCCTTACCTAATGGCTCGACTGGAGGTATGGAACTGTGGGTTAATCTGCATCATGCTGTATCTCATTGACTGCCTGCTTCCATTTTAAGCTCCTTCTGAAAACTGATGCAATATTCATTATCAGCCCTTTTTTCTCTTTATTCCCACTCATGTGCCTGCCCAAAATGTAACTCATAATTATGGTAGGAAAAGGGTGGTGGTAACACAGTATTCCTCTAATAGGAGATGAAATGTTAAAAGGTCTCAGCCTATAGATCTGATTGAGGGAGGGGATGGAAAGATGGGTTGCTGTTTTGATCTGATCTGTCTTAGCAGTCGTAGTTATTGAGCCAATCGTGAATTAAGCTGCTTGGTTTAAGAATGCGGGCTTTTTAATTTACAGTTTCAACTGGAGTTCCTTTTTTTTAGTGTTTACACAGTGTACCACTGTGTTGACGACCTATTTTGGGCGCCAATCCTAGCACGTTCCTGTGCTTCAGCTATCCAGTTAGGTATTCCTGTTCCATGTCTATGAATCATTGTTGAACTGTTGTAGCACATTTATCATGTACTTGTGAAACTGGCCAATATATATATATATAAATATATATTAAAAGATGCTTATTCAGTCTGAATTGTAATGGAGAAATTTTACTTTTTTTTTCCCTTTTGCCTAAAATACTATTTAGTATGTGCTTTAACTGATGGGCTAGTATTCACAGACTGATGTGTACCAGGTTTTCTTTTCTTTTTTTACAGATTATTTCTGTAAATTTAACATACTGCAATGAACTGTGCTCGTTTGTATTTTTAAATAAACACATGTACACTATGAACATGGCAGAGCCTGGTGTGACCACATCTGTTAGTAAAATTTTCATTTTTGGAATCACTGTTTTTCTGCATTTTATTGTTTCATTTTCCTTTTATAGTTTCTTCCCTGCACTCTGTTTTCAGTGTTGACGTGAAGCAGCAACATTGGCAATATTATTTGTATATAGGTGATGGGAATTAGTTGTATGCTGCTATTGTGTCTCAATACAAAGTGATCGATGCCAATCAGAGTAAATGCAATATCTCTCCTGTTTTGAGTACAGCTTTATTGAAGTTCCACTGTCTAGGCAGTGGGGGGAAGATATTGTTTGTCAACATGCGTTCAGCTCAATAAATTATCTTGGGAATAGGAAATAGTGCCGCACACGCATGAGCACATGCACGCACACAGCAGTAAATGTGGCCGCAGCTAACTTGCCAAGAGGGCTTTTGAAGCCCCTAGGATAACCGTAATACAAGGAACTAAAGAAAGGATAAGCGGAGTGTGTTTGTGATCAATCACCAAAGGCACTTGTGTTGGACCAAATCGTCTTACCATACCAACAAAATACATTGGACTGAATCTGAGCACCGTGGGCTCTGGCAAGATTTGTGGCAGAATTCAACAAGTCCAAGGTTGATCTCTACGTTGGGTGCATCATTTTTGACCAGCAACATGAGTTTTTGCTAAGCAGTGTTGAATTGCCAATTGAGGGGTATTATTACTTGTTTGACTCACTGATTTGCTTGATTCCTCTCATTAATATTCAGCTTCCTATCTTGCTAAGCGCACCGAATGAGCTGTACATCGAGAAACCTTGACACGGAAACCAGATCAGGTACGTAGCCAATTCACCAGCGCCAACATTTCGAGGCATGCTCCATGGTCACCAGCCACATGCCCCCCCTCCCCCATTTGTCTGCAGGTGTTGGCATCCAATGTGCCAGCTTCTAAGAATCTGCATGGCACATTCCAATCCACTTAAAGTACACTTGTATACTTAGCTACTGCTGCTGCCTGAAGTGCAGCAATCAGTGCAAAGCTGATACAGACATGCTCCCAGTTCATCGAGTGAGCTAAGCTGTACCTTTTGTTCTTCATTTGCTGTCATTTCACTCTGACCCTACCAGGGAACTCATAGCATCCCTTTTTTGCATTTTTTGTGTGTTTTACACTTTGCCCTTTACAGATACCAACCAGGCTTGCATTACTTCGGTTTTGCCCTGACACTTAACTAGATACAAAGGAAGTGAACTTGTCAAAACATCAATGGACCTCTATCAAGCCAAGTGTTTGTTTGGGGTATCCCAGCACAGTAAGTTAAGGGCAATCTCTGATACCAGTCCAGGAGTTGGGCATAGTCAACCACGAGCTACTCAGGATAGTCAGAGTTAGGAGGCTCCCCACATAAGTGGAGGAGAGCTGAGTGTTGGACAGCTACCACCCGTCCTGAGACTTTCTGCCCTGTTGTGGGTTGTTCCTCCTGAAAAATGAGAGAAGTAGATATTGAGGGAGATGAAAGTGGGTGGAACAGTTGTCACTTTTGCAGATGGGGAAGTGAGTGATTTAGGCAGCACTGATGGTGTGCAGGCTTAGTGCTGAAGGTAGGAGTGGGTGACAATGACTGACAGAAGATCTTGCAGATAAGAGTGACCGTAAAAAAGCATGAGCCTTATTGGGGGGAATGGGCCCAGTAGAAGTAACCATTAGAACTAAGATGGTGATATTTACATTGACAGAATAAGCCACCTTCCCACAGCGTTGGACTAACCTCCCAGATAGCTGAGACCACACAGAACTGCATACTAACCTTTTTAGAAGGGTCTGGTGTGATGGCCACAACTGCTGGGGTTGTGAGAAGAGGAAGTGCTGTCTACACCATCCCATCCAGCAGGACTTGCCAGCCCTCACCTGCACAACAAGATGCTGATTTTTCACCCCCTGCCCCCAAAGCTTTGCCAAGTCTGGAACAAATGTCAGGAACCGTTCAGGGCAGCTTCATGCTGACAGTGTTTGTCCGGGTGTACAATGGGCTTCCAAAGATGGTGCAGTTGCAAGGAATGCTGGTGAATTCCAGGCTATCACTGATTTGGAGAGTTGTTCTGGGAATGACATGGTGTGATAGAAATGAAATCAAATGTGATAGACATAGATACAGGGTAGATAGTTAGTTTTCTTGCTGTATTATATCAAACATAGGCCTCCTGGAAAGCCCTCCAAAACAACTTGTATCTATTGCAATTACCTTTTAACTTTTTTTTTGTCCAGGTACAATGGGTTTTATTCATGCATGTATAGGCAAGGCATGACCATTGGTGTTATACAAGATGCAATTCAGGAGTTACATTTTTTGGCTATATTTCAGCCCATTGAATTTTAATTTCCAAAAATGAACATGAGAAACTTGGAAACGTACCTTTTTTTTTTTTTCTTTTGTACGTGCAGAACATTGTGCATGTTATCTCCCAAACCCAGCAGAAACAAGCTTGTCTGGACCATGAGTGACTGAACATTATTACTAATTTTGTACACACAGGGTATGACTCTCATTCAAATGTTTTAAATTGTTCACAATGGAAAGGTGTAGACAGCTGACTAACCCACTCGAGTACAACATGGCTGAATTAGGCTCCTGTTGCGTAGTGGTGGTGTCCCATCTTCAGGGCCAGAAGACCTGGGTGTAAGTCCCACCTGCTCCAGAGGTAAGTCAAAATGTTTGAACAAGTTGTTAAAAAATATCTACAGGAAGTTCAGTCGGATGTGAGTCAGCCTTTATAATTTTAAATAAAGGTTTTTGTGCCATCCACTTTTTTGACCATCCAAATGTAATGTTCTCTTTTGTTTAAAATTAGTAGCTACTTGAGTCTGGTGACTCTACCCATTCTATTTCCGAGTTTAAGGACAACTTGTTTATGATTATTGGCTTGGACGAGGCCAGGGCTTCCCAAAATGAGGGTCGTGACCCCAGTGCTGTCAGCAGACAAAGCTTCTCAGTTGTGGAGCAATGTCTGCTGGGAAGTCTGAAATGCTAACTGTGGTGAGACACCCGTGCCTAAGATCAGTGTTTTCTTAATCATGGGAGTGGTCTCACAATTGAGTAGGCCTGAATCTTGCCATAAAAACACCTAATGGGAAGATGGTGGGTGGGTGGGGAGAGTGGTTTCTTAAAAACTCCATGGATGAAACGGCTTCAACTCCCTTTTTTTTTGGTCTCTCGGGCCTATTCCCTGACTCCTCGTCCTCCTCGTCCTCATCCCCCTACATTCGACTTGACACCCACCAACACCCCAAGGCATGTTGTAGTCTTCCTCCTTTTGCACTCCACTCTCTGGACACCATCTCCCTTGTATGTTCCTGCTGCACACCATCCTCCAGCTTTCCAACACAGTCTCACTCTGTCACTTCTGCTGAAGCCTCAAACCTTCAAGGACCAAACTGGGGTCACAAAAGGAAAAAGTTTGGAAAGCGTTACACTTAAGCCCTTAAGTGACAACTTGCATTGTTACCAACTAGAGTGTGCATACCAGTTATTGTGACTGACGGAGACTTGTACATTCTAGAGGTACACTGCTAGCAAATTTTTAAACCACGTCTGGGGTTTGGCAATGCTTATCCACCCATAATAGGGCAAAGAAAAGAAGAACTAATCCACTAGACGGTTCCGGTATGGAATAACAATACTATATCCAACACCTTTTCCCGACTGCTTCACTGTCTAGTGCTATCTATCAATGAGACGGAGAACTCCTGTTGCTCCATGTCATTGACAATGCAGTCCACAAATGTGATTGTAAATGACCCTGCTTTTGGAATGATCATTATTGAATGTGCTGATTTGTCAAGATTCAAATCAAGTGAATAACCCCTGTGTCAGATCTGTGCTTTAGCCTCAGAATGAGTTTATGCTCTGCTAATGGAGCCTGTTGATATTATTTGACAATCAGACGATGTCCTACGAATTAAAAGGTTTTTACACTTTCAGAAAAGTCCACCTGTTTGTGATTGTGACATCCTGAGATTATGGAAAGTGCTAAATCCATGCAAACCTATCTGTGAATTTATTGCCAAAATTTTATTGGAGTTCCATTTCCCTCGGGAATTTAGTTTTGGAATAGAGGCTGAGTATTACAGCATGGAAAGAGGCTTATTGTGTCCACATGGAACACCAAGCACCTCTAATCGCATTGCCAGCTCTTGGGATAGCCTTGTATACTACGGGGCTCAAGTGTTCATCTAAATACAATTTAAATGTTGTAACAGTTCCCACTTCCTCCACCCTTTTTTGGGCTGAGACATCCAGATACTTTTCACCCAGAGGGTGGGGGATATCTTTAAATCTCTTCTATATTTCTTTAAAAGAAATGCATCCAGTATCAATTTTGAGAATTTTTCTCGTGTGCTCTCGTCCACTTGTAGCTGTGCAAGCATGTGGTCTTTGCCTGAGGAAAGTAATGAGGGTGTTTAGGAATGAGCCACGCTACCCTTGCATGATCTTTCTTTGTAATGTTTTTGGTCCTTGTCTCAGGCCAAGGTTGTATTTCAAAATGAGGCCATTTTGGAGAGCTCTTCTAGTATTTAACTGTAGATGAAGTAACTTAACTTTTAATTAAAAGGCAGCCTCCTCATTTAACTTGGAAAGTTTCCACTCAAATTTCAGGTGAGCTGCATTTTGAGCAGAGGTAGCTGAGTCCCTGAAGGTTCCGCCTGTTCTCCATGTCTCTGTTCAAATGCAGGAATGTAGACTACATTGAAGATTAGTGAGCTTTTTCTATTCACGTTGAAAGTCTGTTTTTTGCCCAAACTTGGTTTTTCGAGTAAATTTTAAATTTCTGAAGAACAGACGAAAAGGATTTACTAGACATACCAGAAGGGAAGGGTAAGCTGGAGCGAGGCTTCTTGGAACAAACAACATCAAATAGATCTTCAAATTTATGAATGGCTTTTGTAGAGGAAATGTGGCAAAATGTTCAACACAAAGAGAATCCACAACTGACTGGTGCAAATTTTAAAAAGATTTACGAA